ATGGGGAATTTTTCCAGTTTGGGGCCATTATGTACAATGATGTGATTGACACTTTTTTTTGGGGGGGGGGGGCCACTAGCATAATACTGATATCCAAAACTAAAAAAATAAAATATAAAAAAAGGAGTATGACAGGAAAATCTTTATCATAAACATAATAGTTAAAGCCCTAAACAATGTAGTATTAATAGTTCATCAATACCTTAAAAGCCCATAACAAAATTGGGTTTAGACCAGTATGTAACATATTAACAGTGTGAATTAAATCATTGTAATTCACCACATTAAGAGAAACAAAAAGAAATATAATAATTTCAATAGATGTTTAAACATCAGTTGATAGCATGATGAACTATTTTGGAAAAGTAGGAATAATAGGAAGTTTTATTAACTTGATAAAGATTATCTACAAATCTATAGTGTGCATTAGATTTAAAGGTGAAATATGGGGATTTTTCTTTGAAATAAAAAACAATACAAAAATGTTCACTCTTACTGCTTCTTTTCACCACTACACTGGTGGTCCTAACAGTGCAATAGGGTAAAAAAAAAATAAATTAAAAACAAAGATTGGAAAGACATTAAATAAACCTCTTATTATTCATAATTATATAATCATGTATGTAGAAAATCTATACAAAATTATTTTTATATCCAAAGCCCATTGCACAAAGAGATTGGTGCAATGGGCCTTCCTTCCCTTGGCTTCCAGCACCAGTTTTCCTCTAGCACCCAGGACCCAGGCCTTTGCTCTGGCCAGAGTCTGCCCTCTTCATCTTCGCTGCAGACTCAGGCTGCAGACTACAGATGGAGTCTGCCATCTTCACTGCAGACTGTCATCTTGGTCTACTCTGCAGACTCTGGAGGCTGCAGTCTTTGTCTTCACTGTGGCCTGAGTGCCACTCCTTTAGATCCCTTTACTCCCCCCCCCCCGCCCTCCCTCTCATAGCAAGCATCCTGGCCTGCCCAGGCACTCCACACCTAAAGCAGCTGGGCAGCAGCCATCTTCATCATTCTAATTTGCATACTCCCTCCTGATTGGCTGATGGGCATAGCGGAGTGATGGTCAATTTGCATGTTTCTCTTTTATTAGTGTAGATACATTAGAATTAATAAATTTAATGTAATTGAGGGTCAATTTAAAATAAATTAAAACTAAAATAATCATTAAAACATTAATTAAAATCAATGATATTGATTTAAAAATGAATTATCACTATTGTTTTTCCTAGTTTTTCAACCTAAAACCTTGATTAAAGCAAGCAACCAGGAGGAAGAATCTATTTCATTTAGGTCTGTAAATTACAGAGTGCAGAATAAAGGCTACCTCTTCCATATTTTCCTACAATTAATTCTTTCTTCATTTATTCTACATTTTTTTAAAATGCCTACTATATATCAGGCTCTATATTTGCATTTAAATGGCTCACAAAGAAGTAGAGAATGGCAGACATGGCTGACTATAATATAATGTGTTTAGTAAACAAGAATATTTAAGACATGGGTGAAAGCAATTTGCCCCATCAAAGACTTTAAGAAAAGATTTAACAGAGAAGGCAATGATGCAGTAAGGAATCACCAATTCAGAGAAGAATGGAAAAATATAAAGCAGAGGGAATGGAATATAAATAAATGTATAGAAGTGTGAATATACTTGGCCTATTTGGGAAACACAGTATAAAAGCTAACATGGGTAATTAGTAGATCTTTTGTTTGGTTGATGTATACTAGTACATCTATTCTCATGTACCTATTATATTTACAAGATCTCAGTTTAACATCTTTTTGTTTTGTTCTGAGTCATGAATTAGAGTTGATTTTCATGTCTCAGAAGTACAGATTGAATTTTAAAACTCTTTTTCAAGAGCTTCTTTAAGGACACTCACTACTTATTTTTCTAAATGCATCTTAGCCAACTAAAATTATTTTTTTAAATCCTCATTGAGGATATATTTGTTTACTTATGAGAGAGAGAGAGAGAGAGAGAGAGAGAGAGAGAGAGAGGGAGAAACATCAATGTAAGAGAGAAACATCAATCAATTGGTTGCCTTCTGTACCTGCTCCAAAAGGGGGTCAAACCTGCAACTGAGATATGTGCTCCAACCATGAATCCAGCCCACAAACTTTTGGTATATGGGATGATGCTCCAACCAACTGAGCAACCTGACCAAGGCTAAAATGACTTTGATGATACAAAGAACCTGAAAATTACTTATTCAAAACATGATGATGGCTAAATGTTATGGTATTTCAAAACAGCTGTAATATGTAGAAATTACATGGTATATACAACTTAACAAACATCTGAATTTTATGAATACATTATTGCAAATTTTTGTAACAATGTAGAAAAAGAAACTTCCCTGACATAGCCTAAAATTTTATATAAAGAATCGCAGTAACTAATCATTGTAATTAAACTTTAGATACAATAAAGCTGAATAAGTACTTTATATGACAAGAGGGTTATGTTAAAATTATTTAATGTTTCTTATAACTCCATGATAATTATTATTACATGATGAAATTGCTCAACAAACTCTTACTGACATTGATTAGGCTTAGTAGCCAAATTTTTGCTATATCTTACTGGCCAAACTAAATACACACCAGCTTTACTGGATATTCTTATTTCTGCTCCAAATTTATAAAAAGATTATTTAATATCTTTCATTACAGTTAGTTATTAGATTACAAATAATGACCAATATGCATAAATATTTATTGAATAGATGCTCCAATCAAATGTTTTTAGTGCTTATAATTATGAATGATTAAATCAACAAACTCTAGAAAAGACAACTCAATTTTGTGGTCCTTCTATGCAAGGTTTTAATTTAAGAAAACAGATTCTAAATTCTGCTTACCTTCTTGCCAACTGAAAGTACTATCCATTGCCTTCTCCACAGAACTACCCAAGAGAAAATAAAGAACCTACATTGACTATTTTCTGAATTCAGCTCTGTGTATATATACCTTCGAAATGAAACAAATTGGGGCAATTTACTGAAGGTTAAATCCCCTAAATGACATTCACTGAAAACACACTGGGCAATGGTTTGGGAGGCTTAAATTATCAATTTAATTGCCTTAATTCTCTAGGTTGCTTTTATAAGTAGACACAACTTTATCAAATCTAACGATTCTGAATTGGGGGTTTAGGGTTGTTACTCTCAACTCCCTGAATCACGTTTACTTTCTACATGCTCCAAACCATATAAATAGACTTTAGTGAAGGGGAGTCCCAGAAGTGAGGTTTGTACATTAATGATCTGCCTGTGGCTTTCTTTCTAGCGGCCAGCATCTTTCAACCTGTCAGTCTTTTTACACCAAAACACAGGAAAGATTTTGGAGAACTAAGTATGCTGATAGCACCTTGTGATTTAGTTCTTCAACATTTGAACGTAGAGGGATGTTTCAAAACAATTCATTAAGGAAACCTACCTAATTTCTATTAAAAAAAAAATAGTCGCAAAGATCTGAGACAGACGTGAAAGGAAAGATGATTTATGAGGAAGGTAGCTCAACCAACCCTGTCTGATTCTTGAGTACGAGTTTTCCGAGTAGTTTTTTCTGAAACAAGAGGTTTTAAATAGGATAGCATATTCTAGAAGACACGATCTGAAAAACCAGATTTTTACAAAATGATGTTAGCACGTTTTAAGGGTTTAAGATTGCAGAACCTTTCACTGGACACTGTCTTGTTTTCTTTTCCTCTTGCCAAATTGTATTGCAAATAAATCTTTTGATGTTGTAAAGGTTTTCCTTTGTCAGCTAAGAAAAACATTCTGGAAAGTTCTATTTAGTGAATTTACCCATGTATAAATATCCCTGAGCGAGTCTGCTGTCCTGTGGCATCTGGAAGAAAGGTGCTATTGTCTTAGATTCCGTGATTGAAGTAGAGAATAATCAATTCAGAAAGACCCTGGGGGGAGGATCCGCTCACAGATGCTGTGGAAACTTGGAGTCCCGAGGCTTTTCCTTCTTCCTACATATCAAGAGCCATAGATGAGTTCATGCTTCCACACGGCATCTAGTGACAATGGTTCCCGTCCGTGCCGTTTGATTGTTTGACCCTTCCTTGGTATTTGAGACTACTAACTTCAGATTTTATAAGAAAAGTCCTTTTTTGTTAATCCCCTTGTTCCTATGAATTTCCTGGCTTTCTGGGTCACGGTAGCTAGGCAGCTGTCCCCTGGCTATGCAGTCTCTGCCGCTACACATCATCACCAAGGTGTTCCCAAGGATGCATCATTAGAATCTGTTCTGCCAAAACACTCCATAATGTACTCAAAGCTCCTCTTCGTTTCTCGCAAAGCAATGTTTTTGAGCTTCTCCATGAAAAATCAGTGTAATTCCAGAAGATCGTAATAGATTTGCAAGACAGGAATTTGTCCACATAGACATCTGCACAGTTATGAGTATGGTAGGCGTGTGAGTGTACAGTTATTTGACCTTTGGTTTTAGATGAATATCTACCACTTGTTCACTAGCAATTGAATAAGAGCAGCTGTGTCTCATGGTTTTCTACTGTGAAGTGTTCAAAAAAAGTATAAGGTGATTAAATATTTTTTTTAAAATGCAAAACTATGGTTAATAGACTGCCCACTTCCTGCCTACTGTGACTTCCTAGAGGTCTCCTTAGCCAGGCCCAGCTGCATAGATAACATGTTGGAATTTGGCTTGTGAGGAACCTACAAAAATTACACAGATAACTCCGAATTTTAATGAATAATACACAGACATGCACCTGCCTTAAGGACTTCATAGATTAGTCTGATAGCCAATAGAAAAATCATTTGGAATTCAATTGCATGGCTGCAAAACAGAAAATAAAACTGGCTACACTCTTAGAAATGAAATCAGCAAAATGTTAACTAGTTCTTGGAGCAAGTGTTGTGTTTTGTTTTGTTTTTTTAATTTGTTTCAATCCTTCTGCTTTTGTCAGATCTACTGTAATCATAATACCCTACTCATATTGTTGCCTACTATTCTTGCAGCTGGACCCACTTGCTGAAGACACTCTCCACCAAACTCCGAATGTGAATGCTGTTACCTCTTTACAGAAGATCATTGAAATTCAAAGTATGTCTTCAAAGTTTTTTTTAATGTGTAATCGGATATAACCCATCAAACATATATTGTGAAGTTGAGCATATGAACAGCACATTGAATTTCTCACAGGAGAAACATATTTAGAGTTATTATAATTTGCACATGTTATGCATGCATACCTAAGTATGTTACTGCCTTGCTCTTTATATGGCAATCGTATCTTACAGTGATACTCAGAGACTGTAGATTTAGAATCTTTCTTTTTCTCATATTTCAAAGTGCTTGGATTTTTCTATTATTAGCAGTAAGCATTCACCAGATCATTCAAAATAGTATAAAAAATTGTAGTCATATTGCCCAGTCTCAACTAAGGTAAGTTCTTTCCTAGTAATGTTGGAATTCAGCAATCATTTACTGGTTTTAGGTTTGGCAAAAGGGGAGAAGTTAATGAGAAAGCCTGACTATTAGAAAATCCAACTAAACAAGGCAGGGAAAGTAAGAGATTTTATTACTACCAGTTCCCTTTACTGCTGTTACTTTTTAAGAGTTACACTTTTTAGATGATAACATGCATGTGTGTACACATGCGCAAATACACACCCATTGAAATCAAGCACAAATCAATACAAAAGTTAGTATGAAGAGGAAAACCAAAGGGCAAAATTAAATGTGAAGGAGGATCAGGAAAACCCTCAGCTTGTCTGCTGTCCTATATAAGCTTTTATTAACCACCACTGGGAAAGCCACATTCCAGCCATCTCTCCGAGCCTTTGACTTTGCTTGCTCAGTAGTAATTTGGAGATGTGAGTGTGATTGGGATTCTATAGTATCCATACATCTGATTCTGTGACTATTTACAAATCATGCCATGCAGAAACTGAAAATAATTTCCCATCTTACTTAATTTCACTCATGCCTGGATGGAGGACCAGAAGTACTCAGTAAATATTTATTGACTTTATATCATAACTGGAATAAACTCTGAATTTCAAAGATTTTCCAGAGTATAGACTAATAAATGTTCAAATTCTTGGAACCAAAGCCTGTGAGATAAGACTCAGATAAAGGAACTTACACAGATGAAGAAGGAAAGGCTGGGAAAGGTTTCATAAGCTTGAATACAAATTATACTGACTTGTGTCATTACCACTGAGGGTAGAATTAGAGGCTCTATTATATGTTAGTCCAGATATCAAGGAAAGGAATCATGAAGTGATAGTCTTCTCACACTCATCCACATCCAATCTAATGTCTCCTTTAGGTCATCAGTTAAATAGTACAAAAACATCTAGCTTTTGTTTTGTTTGTTTGTTTTTAAATATAGTTTTATTGATTTCAGAGAGGAAAGGAAAAGGAGAGAAAAATAGAACATCAGTAATGAGAGAGAATAATTTATTAGCTGCCTCTTGAAGGCCCCTTACTGGGAATCGAGCCCCTGACCTAGTCATATGCCCTGACTGGGAATCAAACGTGACCTCCTGGTTCCTAGGTCAATGCTCAACCACTGAGCCACATTAGCTGGGCAATATCTAGTTTTTATTCATTTTATTCTCACTTATTCTGAGCATTATTTTGCTGTTATACTCACAGATTATTAAAAGTTATTGTTCCTCTATATAGTCTAACCATATCACTTTCAATAAGCATTCTTGAGTACTTATTACCTGCTGATACATGATAAATTGATCAGTTATCAGTTATCACAACCCAGAGGGGTTATGAAAAGGAAAAAGACAAAGTTTCTGGCGCCAGGGAGTTCCCAGCCCAGTGAGTGAGGGACACAGCCATAGATCCCTCTCCTGCAGGATCACTGGGTGCGCTGAGCTTACAGAGGAGGTGAGCCCCTTTCCTAAGCCCTTTCCGCTGCAAAGAGAGGCACGGCAGATGAGGGGAGTTCAAGGAAGGTTCAAGGAAGACTTCTTGGCAGTGATTGAGCTGAGCTTGATCTTAAAGACTGAACAGAATTTTGTTCAGAAGAAGAAAGAGTGAATTTTTGAAAGGAATAACAGAAGCCAAGGACTCTATTTTTGATAGGTGTGAAAAATCATAATGAATGATCTTCATCTTTAGAAACTGTACTGTTGCCTTTTGTATGGGATATAATTTCCTGGTAATGACTTTCTGCTGAATGAATTTTTCCCTTTCACTACTGACATTTTCAAGTGTCATGTGCAGCTTGCACTAGCCAAATAAACCTGTTTGACGCTTTATTTTTTTTAAATATATATTTTATTAATTTTTTTACAGAGAGGAAGGGAGAGAGATAGAGAGCTAGAAACGTCGATGAGAGAGAAACATCGATCAGCTGCCCCTTGCACACCCTCTACTGGGGATGTGCCCACAACCAAGGTACATGCCCCTGATCAGAATCGAACCTGGGATCTTTCAGTCCACAGACCGACGCTCTACCACTGAGCCAAACCGGTTTTGGCCTCTTTGACTCTTGAAAAGAACTCAGTCTACTATGAAAAGTTGCTGTATGAGAATTCTGCCACTGTAGAGTCTGACTCTGTCTCCTGCTCCAGAAGGTCATTCCACCCAACACTTACCACTTCCCCCATTTAAAAACCCATTTCCTCCAAAACTCCTATTGATGATTCAAACCAGCACTTGTTAATTTATACTTCCATAAACTCTCAGCCCTAATGGTGGATCTCAATTAGTGTTTTTTTTTAATAATAATTTTTTCTATTATCTGAGTGTTTGGATATTTTGAGTCTGTTAGTTGTGGTTCCTTAATTGGATGGTGATCACTGGGAGGGCAGGAATCATATCTTCTCACCCCTATGTGTACCTATAGGATGGGTTGGCAGCAGGGAGCCTGGAAATTGAGTGTAGGCTGGTTTTAGTAGGAAGGATTTGAATAAGTCTTCAAGGCTTTCAGGAAATAAAACTTGTTTCAAAGGGAGCTTTTGAAGAACTCTTCCTTCTGAGTCATGGATTTTTTGTGTAAATGGACACAGCTATTGGCTACTTAACAACCTCATGTTCCTCACTTTTACCCAAAAGAAGCCTCCAGGTACCATGCACCTCAGAGGAAGATGAGCTTATGCCAGGCTTCCAGGGGAGCTGACCTTAATGTAAGGCTAAACTAGTCATTGATTACATTGACCAGTCAGAATAAACAAAAACTGACACAGTAATTGGTTAAGATTGGGTATATGACCCAATTCTGGCCAGTGAGAATCAGGGATGGTCAACCTGGGCAATCCCATAAGCCCCACACGCACAAGGGTTCCATGCATGGGCTAATGCTATCATTTTTGCTGCCTTGAATGTCTTACTAAGTTTTGAATAGGGGCACACATTTTCATTTTGCACTGGGGTCCCATAAATCATGTAGCCAATTCTGATGAAAATTACGGTGCCCGTGACTCAAAAAAAATAATATTTCCATAAAAGACTGATAGTGGCATCACCACTCGGAGAAGGAACTGAATGGTAGGTTGATGTTTAACATTAAAGACAAGTACAATAGACCAGCCCCTCTTGCCATTTAGGACCCGGGGTGAAAGCCAGTACAGAGAGAGTGCTGTGGTGTGTGGCTTTGACCATGGTGGGAAACGTTTTTATGTGGGTCTGTGGAATTGTTTCTTTGGGCTGCTCTTCCAGAGTACAGTAAAAGAACAGGGCTGAGTAAAGTCCACAGAGAAATAAAATACAATGGGTGTTTCAGAGTTGGAAATGTTATAATGGCTTAGGAAATTAAAACTGTGGGCTCCTGGGTGTGTAAACAATGCTGGATTTCTTTGCAAAATCTAAAGTTGTACTTTCATTTTTCTCTATCTTATAACCCACTCTTTCATTTCAAATATATCAATAGGACTCTGGGAGCTTAATCAGGCTCCCACATTCCCCTTTGGTGGGAAAGGTAGTCAGGACTAGTTGAATAAGTTGTGGTTCCCGATGCAACATGAAAATGTGTCAATGCTTTTTTGTTATAAAAAAAAATCTTCATAATTTCATGAAAGTAACAGCAGAACATTGAAGGTAACAGAGGGCTCAAGGCCTTCCTGAGTGCCGGCCCTTTGGGGCCTGGACTGTCCAGGTCGGCGGTTTACTGAGTGAGCCTTCCAGCTTGCCTTTGTTGAAGAAGGAGACCCTCCTCTTCACATATGTCTGGAGCGTCACACAGGTGCCTCCTTTTAGCGTTAGGGGTGTTTGAATTTCAGCCTGCCTCCCAGCCCAGGTTCTGAAGGATGCTTTTGTGCTACAGTCTGGGACTACAGTATCAGGAAACTATGTAGATGTTAAGAAGCCAGCCTTGGAGCATGTGGGAAACATTCAGGCAAGTTCCTAGATAGCCTTGTCCCAAGGCAGACAGCAAGGTGCTGACAGGCTGTGTGCTGACTTCTCTTTGAGAACTGAGCCCCCCAGCTGAGGGTATGCAGGTGCTGGAGGCCGTGATTAGCATTGGCCCTCTGCCTGGCCACATGTATGAGAGTATTTTACAGCAGGATTATCACCGTTGTCCTGTCCTTGTGTATGTTACTCAGTTTGCTGAGAAGAAAAGGTCTTACAAAGCACAAACAACAAGGCAAACATTTCTCCTAACAGGCAAAGACCCCATCTGACAGATCACTGTCTGGTTCCATCTCAAGATGATAGGTGTATGCAGAGACCAACCATAGTTGATATGGCAAAGTCTTCCACCTTATTCAAGATTTAACCTTTTGGGAAGCCCTCTCTCAATCCCCCTCATCTCTATTCTAGATTAGGTGCAGTTCCTGTGTGTTTCCATGGCGGAGATTCTTTGTTTATTGTTTTTAATCTTTAAAAAATTTTTAAGAAACAATTCACACCATTATTTTGTACTAGTTTCAAGAATCTTTGTTTTTAATTGTCATATCCTCTGTGCGGTGCCTGGCACATAGTAGGTGCTCTGCAAAATGAATTAATGAATCAGTCAGTCTTTTATATTTGCCACCCACACTTTTTTCCTAAAGACCAGACTAATATTTTAACCCAAGGTAATTATACACCTGGGCTAGTCCATACAGAATGAAAGATTTAAAAGAGCAGGCAAAATT